CTGCAGCCTGCTCAAGGCGAAACTCGGGTGCAAGAGGTTCAGGGCAATACGACAGTTCTGGAATTTTTAATTTTGGAAAAAAATAAAACCTTTTGAACATCTTAATAGCGCAACTATTTAAAAAAAATAAAAGCGGAGAAAATATAGCACCCAGAAGCTACACAATTCATACATTTCAAATATAAGAAAGACCATTTGGGGAATCCCAGGGAGATGTTTTCTAGAAAACTTGGGTTTAAAAAGTCACAAGTAATCTACATTTTTTTTTTTAAAAAGGCAAAACAAAAACAACCACTGCGTATAAAGAAATCTTCCAAAAAGGAAAGGCCAGGGCTCACCCTGCCCGGAGATCCCATTCACTGGCTTTTGGGTTTCTGGTCTTCAAGTTGAAGCTACAAGGGTCGATCGGGCATCTGTTGTTTCTGACTTGTCGCCCCTCTTCAGAGCACATTAAGGCCACCCAAAGTGGCATTGAAACGACCTAACGATCAACACTGAAAACCTAAGGACTCCCAGAAGCGAAGCTGGGCCTCTGCTTTTTCTGGAAGCCCAGAGGGAAGAAGAGACAGCCTCTGGCGAGATGATTACCTCGCTTTGAAGCAGCAGGCCTGAGAGTTTCCCTCTCACTTTCCTATGTCTCTAAGTTGACAACCCCAGGCTCCTGGCCCCCAACATCGAACATCCAAACCAGTGCCCAAAGCTCTTTGCAGCCACCTAAGGGGCACAGCCTTACCTTGCACGGCCTTTTCCTGATCGGCGCGGCTGGCCAGTGGAGCGGGCAAGCTCTGCGCGGCTCCCAGCAGCCGCATTTTGCAAGGGCTCCTCCGGCCCAGGATGCTGTCGATGCAGTAGGAGGAGAGCAAAGTTGGAGATTTACTTTTGCACTCCGGCCTCTCGGAGCAGCCCTCCTCCTGGTACTGATTGCTCATGGTTGGGGCTTTTTCCCTGGGCGCAGAGTGCGGACCGCTGGCTGCCTCTCCCGTTGGGCGGGATGAATGGGTGTGTGTTTGGGGTGGGGTTAGATGGCTGGTTATAGTGGATATTACTGCGATCTTTGTGCCTCTCTGCCTCCCTCCGTTGCCCGCTGCCCGCTCCCGCCCGGTTCGCGGCCCGAGCTCGCCCTCTCGGCGCACAGGACAAGCGGTAACAAGTGTAGTGAGCAGGGAGCGCTGAGCTCTGGAGTCTCTCTCCTCCACGTGCTGAGAGGCGCCCTCCGATTGGCTCTCGCCAGAGGCCGGGCTGCGTCGGGCTGCGAGCTCAGCGCAAAGCCTGGACTGGATTCCTGAGAGGTCGGCGCAGTGCGGGGGGCTGGGGGAGGAGGCAGGGGGCAGTGGGCATGCACCAGAACCAATTTTCTTTTTCTTTCTTTCTTTTCTTTTTAAACTAATAACTTTCTTAGTTCCCCATCTTCTTCCTGGAACTCCTCTTTTAACCCCGTAGGGTTGGCTGAAAGTTCTAACTCATTAGGATGCCAAGCCTGTGGGTGCCACTTGGGCGGCGTGTGCCCCTTCCACCAACTGGAGGACCTCGCTCTCTGGAAGCGAGGCCTTGAGACTTAGGTTCAGACCGACTTGGCACTTTGCAAAGCTGCTAATGCGCTCCCAGGACAGCTCCTTGACCTCAACTGCTCTCAGTCGCCATTCTTTCTAAACTACACAGGCCTCTGAGGTGCCAGGGTGACGGCCCCAAGCAAACATCTGCCGTCTGGGCGTTCGATTTTCTCGCGTGGCCCCAGGCCTTACGCTGTTTGTCTTCACCCTGATCTCGGCTGTTGCTCTCTTGTTAGTATCGTCCTGACTGCTCCTGGCTCGGGTGTGAGAAAAGGACCCCTTGAAGACAAAGCTCTGTCAAAGGCCTCCGGCCTTTCCTAGATCACCTATGGGGCGGAAAGAGACAGGCGGGTGTCAGTTTCGAGGAAGGACGACTGGGGACGGGTCTGCGGCTCTCCCTCCCCTTCTCTTGGGTTCTCTTCTCTCTTGCTCCCACAGATTCATCTCCATTACTTAGGCCATCACCCTGAGGCTGTTCCTCCTCAAATCGCGCCTGGGGATTGAAACCTTCAGGAAGCCTTGAGCTCCCCAAGGTGAAAGGGACCCAGATCCGGTTTCAACCAAATCTTAGCGCCTAAAATTCTGAATTCTCTTGGCCAGGCTTCTGTTAGTAACGGTGAGAGAGGTGAGCCTTGGGGAAGGTGCGCCTCTTCTGAACAACTTCCTGAGCGTCCAGGGCTGGGATCTGAGAGCCAACTCCGAGTGAAGTTGGACTGTGCCCGGGCTAGGGGCCGGCACGGATGCCCTCCCTGAGTGGGTGCAGGATCCAAGGGACAGCCAGGGGCCCGAACGCTGGCGCGGTGGGGGTGAGGGTGGTGGGTGGGAAAGACTCTGGGAGGGGGAATCCACGCCAGGTTTTCCTGTCTCAACCCCTTAAATGTGTCAAAGAGAAAAGCGTTTTACAAAGGATTATACTTGAATCACTTACAGTCAGTATTTAAAAATACAAGGATGCATAACTGTTTTTTTTTTTTAGCCATAAACATCTGCATAACTCTTGGATGCTGGTGGGTGGGTGGCAGACAGATCGCGCTGGCTTGGCAGGAGCATTCAAGACAACTTGAGGGGGATGAAGGGTTGGCAACAGGCACGTTAATAATGCTCCCACTGATGTCGATACTACTACTATTAAAGGCAGGACTAAAAGGATTTCTCTCCGTGTCTCTCTATCTCTTCCTCTCGGTCTCTCTCTCTCTGTCTCTCTCTCTTTTTTTTTAACTTCGATGCTCGCCCGCTTTTCCTGCACTTGGATGATGGAGGCGGGAGGGTGGGAGGAGAACCCGACCTATCGCTGACGTCTGATTTTCTTTTAAGCCCTCTCAGCGATTCCGAGGCACCTGGGATGTCTCCTGCCTTTCCCGCAATTCTTCCTTTTCCATCCTCACCAACAGTTTTTATACTGTCACGTTCAGTTACAAACTAACGTTCTGCGCGCTGATTTCCTCCCACTCTTTGCTCCCCGGGCCGCGAAAGCCCATTCTGGGCGTGCGGACATCCTCGCAGCCGAGAGGCGTAAAGACGCTTCGGTTTCCTCGGAGCCTCCAACCGTGGACCCTCGCGGGCGTCCCCGAGGCTGGTCGCTTCGAGAGATAGAGGCGCTTTTCCCTCCCCGGCGGGCCCCACGATGGAAATCCACAAGACCCGGCTGCCAGGTGGCTCCGTGACTTCAGAGTCGGCTCCGCACACGCAGGGAGTGGGCTGAGAATGAGCCCAAGAAAGATCGTGTTAAACAAAAAGAGACACAAACGCACAAATAATTTCTGAGAGCCCAAAGGGGTTTCAGCTCTGTCGGTGGAAGTCTTCTTTGCCTCCATCCCCCTCCTCCCCCTTCTGCAGCTGTTCTCCTTTTAAAAGAAGTCCGACTTTCTGCTGGGGTGTATTCTAATTTTAATCATCCACGATAGAAGAGGAGGTTAACATAGAATTTCTGATTCTGACTTAATGATCCCTGGAATTAAATCTCATTCTATTAATAGAATATAAAGCGTTGGTTTGGGAGACCTGTTTGAAAACACTGGTCTTATTTGTTCTGTTATTTTATTTAATTTATTCTGGTATTTTGTAATCAATCTTCCCTAGGGAGGATGCTGGAAGGAAGCACCTGGGGGAGAAGGACCAGCCATAGACCACTCTGCATCCACCACTCCTGGTGATCTTTGTCACATGTCAATGCCTAACTTCAAAATCTACAATTGACACTTGGTATTCCCAAGAGATTACATTAAAAAAAAAAAAAAAAAAAACTACAGAAAACTTTTCTAAGGTACCGATGGGGAGACAGAATCTGTTGGTCTCCACGGTGTCTAATCAGAATATGAGTTTAAGATGTATGTGTGTTATCCCATATGTCATTTTATAAAACAATATTCTACCTCTCATATGTAGGAACAATTTAATTGGTGTATTGAATAGGTCGATTTTTAATAATTGGGTATAACGCTGTACAGAAGACTTACGGTTTAGCCCAATTAAATATTTACCCTGCCAGCCAAATGACACTTCACTTTCTTCTCACCTCACTTTCTTCTACCCACTAATCAAAAGTAATTTCATCTTAGTGACATTGTTCACGACTGTACTTTGTTATTCACAACTCCTGACTCTCAAATCTTTGGGATCTGTAACTGTTGGTTTGCTTTCTTGGGCTTCCTGGAAAACAGTGGTTTGTGGTTCACCTGCTTTTAAAATCAATCACTAAAATAAAAATGACAATAACGTGGACATGAACGTCAGAAGTGTTTAAAACTGTTGTTTATGGTGAAAAAGGAGGCTTGTCCCCAGAACTGGAAGTAATAATTACCTAGAAGAGGCGAATGGAAGAAACCTTTTTCAGTAGTGAGAGAGCTAATTCTACAGTGTAGCTTCGAAATTATATTTGCAAGAAATGTGGGATAAGGGGGTGGGAGTGAAATGTCATTATCCAGGGGGGAAAATGTTTGGAGGAGAGTTAACCTCAAACACGTTTCATTTGAGATGTTTTAATTTATTGTGCTACATACACAGATAAATAAAGCTGTCATGGGCTTCCAGTCATACCGGATGGTTCAGGTTCCCTTAAATTATGCTCAACCTCTTCTAAACATGTATTTAAACAATAGAAATAAACTTCATTGGAGTCTGGTGACCAATTTGAAAGCCATTGGGAGAGAAGACAATAAGTCCTGATTGCACGCAATGATTCTCTGCGATGTGATATCCCCTTTGCCAAGTCATTTTGCTGCTTTATTTATTTAATTTCTTTTTTTTTTTAACAAACTTTCATTCATTTATGGTCTTCCGCAACCTGCTAATTTAACACTGTAGCGCGTTATTGCAGTGTTAGGAGGAGAGAAAGAGGGAGAGAAAACAACAATACTGCAATGATCCAAATGATACAGTAGAATTATAGCAATTATAGTTCTACTTGTGGAAGAAAACCTTGCTGAGATCAGGCAAACAAACTGAAGCCTTGTGAGGATAACAAGCGTCGGGATTGACAGCCAATGCTGGGAAGAGCCAGAGGGCACAAACAGAAATATTTGCCTCCCCCCATCCCCCCCCTTGACTCCAACCAGTCAAGGTTAACCTCCTCAAATGCTGCTTTCAGAGTCTTATCCACTTCAGGGTATGCATTTTATGCACAAATCCAGGTCTCTCCTCCTGGAAGTCTGGTAATAGGAGGAAATGGACCATAATCCGCTTGCCTAGAACTTGTCCCTCGCCTTCTTTGCCCCCCTGCTTGCCCTCCACTTCCTACCCCTGCCTCAGTTCTCCCCCTGGCTGCTGGATCCCTCTGTGGACTGTGTTTGTTTGTTGTATTTTCAAATGAGTAGTTCGTGGAAGGGTCCAAAGGCACTGATAACTTGGATTCCCTGGGAAGACTTCCTCGCGGTTGCTAATCCTCTCTTCGCCGTGTCCTCCGCCTGAGCCGTGGGTTCCGTTAGGGCTCGGTTGGAAGAGGTTTGTTGGGAAGCAGCTTTCTTGGAAGCATCCCGAGGACCACGGCCGGCCGAGCCCTCAAGGTATGGACGTGTGGGTGCGATTACGGTGACAACTCTTCTAATTTGCAAACTTCCCCACTTTAAATGACTCCTCGGCAGCAGGGGAGCGGGTGGGGGAGCGAGAACTCGTGAGAAAAGTGGACACCCCCTCCCACCCCTACATCTACCCATCCGGGCGGCAGTTGAGGCTTGTTCAAGCTTTGCTCCAAGTACGAAGCTAGCCGAGATGGTTGCAGCCTCAAGACTGCCCTCAGAAAGTGGGGCGTTCACCCCTCCCACGGGCGAGAAGCTAGAGAAGCTAGGGGTTGGACTCTGGGCTCTCACCCTGAGTCCCTCGGCGGGAGCCTCCCATCTCCCACCACGCCCATCCCCCCAGGTTTCCAGACCCAAGAGGGAAACTTCTCGGCGCCCTGTCGTCACCACCATCTGCTTTCTCTCCAGTGCGGGATGGCAGGACCCCGGGTGCTACCAGGGTCGAGGAGTCTGGGCTCTCACCCTGAGTCCCTCGGCGGGAGCCTCCCATCTCCCACCACGCCCATCCCCCCAGGTTTCCAGACCCAAGAGGGAAACTTCTCGGCGCCCTGTCGTCACCACCATCTGCTTTCTCTCCAGTGCGGGATGGCAGGACCC